CTTGCGAGGCAGGCGGCAGCACCACTGAGCCAATCCCACAGCCCCCACTGTCCCTTTTTATTGTTTATTTTATTTTTTGTTACTGGGGATCAAACTCAGGACTTTGTGCTTGTGAGGCAGACGTGGTGCCAGTAAGCTAAATCCCTAGCCCTTGTTTTTTTTGGTACTGGAGATCAAATGTAGGTCCTTGTGCTTGTGAGGCAGGCGCCAGAACCACTGAGCTAAATCCCTGGCCCCCCTTATTGTTTATTTTGAGACAGAGTTTTAAATTACTAAGTTGCCCGGGCTGGGCTCAAACTTGCTCTTTTCCTGCCCCAGCCTCCCCAGTAGCAGGATTGATAGGTGTGCACCACTCTGCCCAGCTGGTTTCTATTTTATTCACTGCCCTGGACGGTTTTATATCAGCCCCTCAGACCTGTCTCTCCTTTTGTCCATCCTGACCTTCATGGGCCTGGTGGTCATCCTTATGTGTGTTGCTGTTCCTAGAATACAGGACATATCTGATCTTTTTTTTTTTTTAGTGTAGGAATGGAACCCAGGGCCTTGCACATGATAAGTCCATGCTCAGCCACTGAGTTACACCCCAGCCACATCAAATGCTCTTGCTGCTGTTTAAGAAAGATTGGGCAGGAGCATCATTCCTATCTTCAGGATGAGGACTTGAGTCCCAGAGGAGTTGGAGGCCATCTGGCAGTGCTGGAACTCAAAACCAGGTTTTCTGGACTGTGTGAGGTCATTCCATGCACCCTACGCCACCTTGCACCAAAGCCAAGGGAACTCAGACAGTCCTGAAGCTACAAGGATTGAGGCAAGGGGACCCCCCGCCCACACTTAGCCTTGGGTAAGCCAGACAGGGCCCAACAGCCCCCTGACGGACTTCCCACCCCTCCAACAGTGCATCTGTGGCGCTTCTCAGGCGGCTACCCAGCCCTCATGGACTGCATGAACAAGCTAAAAAACAACAAGGTAGGTCAAAAGGCTCTTGGCGACCCTTTCTTTTTATTGGTACTGAGGATCAAATTCGGATCGGTGGTGGAATTGGTGCCCCTTTCTGACTATTGGTTTCAGCCTAGTCAGGCTGCCCATGGGGCGCGTGGCTGGGGTGTGTCTCTTCCTGGCTGCTGTGCCCATACCACAATGCCCACAGGAGTACCTGGAATTCCGAAAGGAGCGGAGCTGCATGCTGCTGTCCAGGAGGAATCAGTTGCTCCTGGAATTCAGCTTCTGGAATGAGCCACAGCCTAGAGCTGGCCCCAACATCTATGAGCTGAGGACATACAAACTCAAGGTGCCTCCCTCCCCCACAGTCCCTCCGCCTCCCACCATCCCTGCTGTGCAGGTGCCTGAGGGGGTGGGCCCTGTGTCCCAGTGCATGGACTGGGCCCCTGGCCAGCCTGGCCCCACGGGCTCAGAGGAGAAGTCTATGTTCCTGGGTGTACTTGGGGAGGCCCCTGGAGCTGGACAGACAGCACAGAGTCCGTCCCTGCCCTGTTGTGATGCTGGGACTCCGAGGTCGTGCTCATTCCCTCTTCCCTCTGGTTCTATTTCAGCCAGGAACCATGATCGAGTGGGGCAACAACTGGTGAGTGGTGGCACTGGGGCTGGGCTGTGGGCAACCCCCAGTGGGCCACTTGTCCGGAACTGTCACAGGAACCTGCTCTGCCCCTCAGGGATCCAGAAAAGGATCCAGCCATGAGATATAGGTCTCCTAGAGAAAGTGAGGCTGCTTTTGGTAAAAAATCAGCCAGCTGCTGCACTTCCATCATCCCCAAGCATCACTGAATGCCACAGACCCTACCTTGGGTCCCTTTTGTGAGGTGTGGCCAAGGAATCAGCCTGGGGTCATCCTGGGAGTCGCTTCGGGTTGGCCTGGCCTCTTCTCCACACTCTGCCATCTGCAGGGCTCGAGCCATCAAGTACCGGCAGGAGAATCAGGAAGCAGTGGGCGGCTTCTTCTCGCAGATAGGAGAACTCTACGTTGTACACCATCTCTGGGGTAGGTCAGGAACTTTCTAGGAGCTTTCTGTTTGTCCCGTTTCTCCACTGCCACTTGTAAACAATTGGAATACAGGGCCAGAGATTTAGCTCATTGACACCGCGCCTGCCTCACAAGTGAAAGGTTGTGAGTTTGATCCCTGGTACCAAAAACAGAAGAAGAAAACCAAAAAACAAAAAGCAGTGAGAATACATTAGTGCATGTGTGGAAATTACACTCTAGTAGAGGGAGGTGCTACCCCAGATGTAAACTAATAAAAAAAACACGTTAATTTCAGATGTTTATAAATAATAATATCTAAGGCGGGGGGTTTAGCTAAGCAGCGCCATACCTGCCTGGCAAGCACAAGATCGTACGTTCAATTTTCAGTACCAAAATAATAAAATAAAAATAGTAATAATAAAATAATAATAATAATAATAATATCTGTGGGAAAAAAAGGCAGGTGGATGTGATAGAGAAAACAGGATATTTACCTTGGTTGGCTTGGGCAGACAAAATGGCGTCTCTAAGAGGTAACATGGAAGTTCAGAGCTAAAAGATGAGAAGGAGCAGCTGTGAGTGCTGGGCAAAGACACTGCAAGTGAGAAAGGCTGTTTTTGTTTGTTTTGTTTTGTTTTTGAGATAGGGTCTCACTATGAAGTTCAGGCTGGCCTGGAACTCCTGACGACCCTCCTGTCTCAGCCTCCAGAGTGTTTGCTGGGGTTACAGACATGTTCTACCACGCCCAGCTGCCTGTGAGGTGTTGAGGGGCGAAAAAGAAAGCCAGTGTGGAGTAGTGGAGGAAAGTGAGAAGGGATGGGACAGGAGACGGGGGAGACACTACATAAACTGGGCCTCACAGGCCAGGGGAGGAGTTGGGATTTATCATAAATGCAACGGGAGGCTGGCTGCTGTGTGCCGTACTGAGAGCGCCTGGTGGAGGAGCAAGGATCTGGAGATGCTCACACTGGTTCATGCGGGCAGGGACGGGGCCTGGCCTCGGGGAGTAGAAGTGGGATGCGGAGACATCTGTACAGTTACAGTGTCGAGGCTGACCTGTGGGACTGGAGGATAAACTGTCACGGGGGAGGGAGGACGAGAGAGACGATTCCAGAACTGCTCCAGGCTCCTCTGCGCAGCTGTGTGTTGTCCTTCGCTAAGACCGAGAGGTCTGGAGGAGGAGCAGGCTGGAAGGGTCAGGAATTTAATTTTGGCTCTCTGAAATGTTACGTTTAGGATGCTGACACATTCAAATACAGATGTCACATGGGCACGACCCGTATACTTCAGAGTCGGCAGGAGAGTGTGGGGCTGGAAACACAGATTTAGCAGTCGTGGTCATGTGAACTCTGAAGGCCTTTCCACACCACCACAAGGCCTTTCTATGTGCTGTTCCCTCCCCTCATCTGAGAGAGAGAGAGAGAGAGAGAGAGAGAGAGAGAGAGAGTGTGTGTGTGTGTGTGAGTGTGTGTGTGTGTGTGTGTGTGTGTGTGTGTTTACTGGGGATCGAACTCAGGACCGCTTAGGCTTGTGAGGCAGGTGGCGGAACCACTGAGCTAAATCCCCGGCCCAAGGCTTTCTTTTCTTTGTCACCATGTTTCTCTGTCTTGCCTCCTTGTTTCTTCTCTATAAGTATTATTTGTAATTAAACTTTTTTTTTCGGGTACCGGGGATCGAACTCAGGACCTTGCACTTGCAAAGCAGGCGTAACTACTGAGCTAAATCCCCGGCCCTATTTGTATTATCTAAAGTGAATCTTTTCATTGATTGGATGAGATTGACAAAGCAGACAATGTTTGCTGATAGCCTCAAGGAGGAAGAGATAGGAGGCCAGGTTTTGGGGCAGTGGGGACCTGTGTTGGGGAAGAGGTCAGATCCTCTGACCTGAGGAATGAGCCTCTTTCCCACAGCCTACAGAGACCTGCAGTCTCGGGAGGAGACTCGAAATGCTGCCTGGAGGAAGAGGGGCTGGGATGAAAACGTCTACTATACAGGTGAGCACCTCCTCTCAGTCAGTTCGGCCTTGGGAGGTCATCTGCTGGCAGCCCTGTTTGAGGAGAAGGGATCTTGATTGCCTGCAAGGATGGGAAGCTCATTGTTTTGGGGCAGATACTGAAGATCTAACTGGGAGCCTTTGCACTGGGTTACATCCTTAGCTCCTTTAAAATTTAAAAAGAAATTGTAGCCGGGTGTCGTGGGTGATGCATGCCTGTAATTTCAGTACTAAGGGGGTGGGGGGGCAAGAGGATTACCACAATTTGAGGCTAGCCTGGGATACATAGTCAGTTCAAAACTAGCCTGAACTACATAGCAAGATCCTGTCTCAAAAAAGAAAATTTAATTTTTTAAATTTTGAGACGGGGTCTTGCTAAGTTTCCCAGGCTGGGCTTGAACTAGCAGTTCTCCTGGAGTTTTGGGATTATAGGTGTGTGCCTCGGGTCCCAGCTGGGAACTCACTTTAAGATGGTGGG